AATTGAAATTAGCAGAAATAAGTCAGAAGAAGCACAAAATGGTGTAGTTAGCAGAAAGAATATGAAAGGCACACAAAACAGATGAAAGAACAGCTGAAATTAGCTGAAAGTAGCTGAAACAAGTTTAAATTTGCACAAGGAAGCTGAACCAGAACAAAAAGTGAAAGGAGCAGTAAAAGGTTATAAACAGATCTAAAGATTTGAAGGATATAAAATGAGCTCAATTTATTTTCTATGAGGAAAAAAAGTGGCAGAAAAGGCTAAATATTTCAAAAAGCTAAAGTTGCACCGATACCAAAAGCCGTAGCACCCTTCTCCTGAATGAGCTGAACATTTTGATATATCATTTGTTGAAATAGCACAAAATTGTGGACTGAGAAAGATGCTGATAAACGTACGGAATATCACAATAGTGTGAATGCTTCATAAGCATTCACACTATTAAAAAAACAAATCAGACTTCTTGTTTCTGTGGTCTTACCTGTGGCAGGGGTTTCTGGTAGACCTGCATGGCCAACATGACAGGAGCTGCTGTGCTCCAGTTGTAGTACCTAAAACATGACAAAAAAGATTTACCTTCTTAAATCACCAACAACAAAAAGGCAGTGGACTTGTCTGAAGTGAAATAACGAGGTCTGGAAACTTTATAAACTTTGGAAACAACTGAGACAATTTAAAGTAAGGTCAACATCTTTAAAAACCACACAATCATTCTTTGGACTAAGTTGAAGCTAATAATAATTTATGACTTTAAAAGAAGACTGTTTCTCTAAGGTTTGCTCACAGTAAAAATAAAACAGTTATATGGGTGCTAACAGAGGAGTACATACTTGTTTCCAATTTTAACCACCAGGTTGGGGTCATCGATAATAGAGGGGTTCTCAGAGAACTGTTGGTAGGAAATGGCTCTCTCCACGAACTCCTCTGAGGCATCAAGCACACACAAAATCCAAGAAACGCACACAGACAGCTCATCAGACAGGGTTATTATAAGAACAGTACATTATTTATTAGGTAACACATTTGTGTAAATAATATGTTTATTTTCTTATTAAATTAAGATTTCTACATTTCTTTTCTACCTCTTGTGATCTCCTTGTTGTCAGTGAGTCCTCCACACAAAGAGATAGCGACATGAGGCAGGTCACTTATCTGGTCCAACAAACTGTCGACGCCGCTGTCCATCCCACTGCTGCCCACTGACAGCGGGGACTGGTTGGTGCTCCTCACGCCCACCATCATCATCTCTGAGTCCCCCTTCACTGAGCTACTGCTTCCATCACTGAGAAGAAACACCACAAAGATGTCTCACTGATAGTTATTTAACAAAAAACTATAAAAAGGGTTTTCTAAAGTAATGAAACTATTAAAAAAATGAAACAGGATTACACTGAACTCTTTGCACCTTTTAGGGAAATAAAGAGCAGCAACTTCAGGCTCCAGGTCTGTAATGTCGTCCAGATAAATCCCATCAGCTCCTAGGTGCTGGCTCCTCTTTTCTAAAGGGCACAGAATCAAACTTCAGCTGCAGAAACGAGCTGTAACAGTGGAACGGTACGTCACAGAAAACTTTTGAACTATTTATAGGCAAAACACATCCACTACCTTTCTTTTTGGAGGGTGAATCCGTCCTTTTGATGGGACTTCCACTGTTCCTGCCTTCATTTATTTGACATGGAAGAATCTTTGGTGACACTGAACAAGCTGCTGAACCCTCCATCTCCATGTGTGACGGACCAACACACTCAAGCTCCTTCACTTGAAGCAGAAAAATCCGACAACAACCATACAGTATTAAAAAAATCTCATAAATCATAAGGATGATATATTTACATTAGAAATGACTAATTTATCATATTGTGGTTCAGTTATCTAACCAATAATTTACAAATACAGTCACACGCATCTACTTACAATTGTTTTTAATAAATAAGAAGACATATTTCAGTGCGTTCATGCATTTGTAATTTAGTAGTACTGACAGCGTTTTAAAGTTTCTTTCCGTTATAAATAAATAAAATGTAATATTTTATATGAAATATTTTCAATTTGTTTTCATTTAAGCGTGGGTGAATTAAAAAGCATGCATTTCAGGGTAATATTTCAAGAAAATGGAGGTATTAACACACAAAAATGTGTAAATAAAGGTTGAATGAAAAAACGTTATTTTGCACGTCATTTAAAAATAATTTATTCACAGAATATCCACTAGAGGGTAGTAAAGTTTTAAATTGTGGTAAGGATAATATCTAAACTGTTCAGGGGGCCACAGTCTCTGAAAGCCAGCAGCACAGGGGCCGGACATGTAGCAATTAAAGTCATTATGTAAATAAACCAAGTTTTACAATGATCAGTTACCTTTTAAATTTGTTTATTTTATTGCATTGACTCATAAATGCAATAAACAGAACCCCAAACCCCAATATATATATATATTATTATTATTATTTTTATTAAGTGGGCCGGCTGATTTAAACCATCTCAGCTGCAACTCAAAGCCCACTGTCTTTTTAATGTCTCCCATCATTTATTTTAATTTAATAAAATCGTCCGTGAGCTTATTAATAATGAATATAAGTATTTAATATAAGTATTTTTTTGTAAGGATTCTTACAAAGCTCAATCATTTTTAGTCAGGTGAAGGTGCAGGAATATTCCAATATATT